GTCCTGTGGCTCCTGTTGTGTTGGGGAAGTCCCAGGACACGCTGGAATCCCTTTGCCTACTGCGTCTTGGGCAGGAGGATGAAATTATTTAGCCACGGTCAAGAAAAACAGTATCCAACTGCATTCCCTGGAAAGAAGCTCATCACAGTTTCACCTGTCCCTGGTTGTTACATTGTAGGCTCCAAACTCTGTATTCTGTCCAAACACAGTAATCCAAAATCAAAAGCATCCTGACAATTTTAAGTTGAACATAACATTAAAAAGAGAGGCTTGCCTACTAGCACTAGAAAAGAGCTGAAGTTTTATCTGAATTCTCAGTAGAGAAAGAAATACCCAGTGGACTTGCATTATGGAGTGATGTCTTCATCCTCTGGGTACAAAAAATATAATGGAGCATAAATAGGAGGAGGTGAATTCAATTTACCTGTCTTCTATTGAAATGAAAGCCATGTGGAGCAAGGTGATCAGACTGGAATAGTCCCAGGTCCATCTGTGTAGGGTCTTATCCAGAAGGACGTGCAAGACTTTGCTCGGCAGGGAGATCTGTTACATGGCCATTACAGTCTTATCCGTGCCTGGGTTTGCTGGGGACTGGCCAGAGCTCACAGCGTGCTAATACCCATCCGAGTTGCTTGCCTTTACCTATGGCAACTCCAGACATTGTTGATGTGTACCTACATAGCGTTCCTTTTCAACTTTGCTTTCCAGTGAGTCAGAAGAGGCTGTACAAGGCGATGTTTCATCTAAAGCTGCTGCATACGTAGCCTTTGGTCTAATCAAAATTGCTGGTGCTTTTTGTGTGACAAAAGAGCACAGCATCCAAGATAAACCGAGGAGAGGAGATCTGGGTATGCAAGCCTTCATTGAAAAAAGGCATCTTTCATCTCGCTGACAGCAAGGTTCCTGCAGCGCTTTGATTGCCCTTTAATTATGCCTGTTTTTCCTGGTTTGTTTGAAAGGCAGATCTTGTTAGAAAAAGGTGCTGTGTGGAAAGAACTTGGCTGTCTCTGCTGCCCTTCCTTGAGGGCACACAGCAGAGCTGCCAGATTAATTTTTTTTTCTGCATTATTAAAATGGAAGATTGTTTCTTGTAGATTTGAACGTAGGCACAGTGTGTTTCTCCTGAGTTAGGCGAGGAGGGGTGTGAGTGGTCGGGCGGTTAAAGCAGACTGAGAAGTCATGAGGTCTGGCTTCTTCCCACGCTGACTTCCAGTGTGATCCCGGAGGAGGTGCTTTAATCCTCCTGCCTTCGGTCTTTTGTTGTGTGTGGCTGGGCTGCGGCTCGTCTGCTGCAAAGGCTGCAGGAAACCCAACCTGGTGTTGGATGGAGGAGGGTCTGTAGCATGTTGGGGTGAACGTCACCAGATGTGGGGGGATTAACAGCTCGTACAGGTTTCATGCTGTTTGGTGTTTTATCTTTAAACGTCACCATTGTGGAGCCATTTGTCTTGATGAGAATCTCAGCTTTCATTAATAATAATAAAAAAGCATGAAATAAATCAGCAAAAAAAGAAAAGGAAAATAAAGCCTGGCTTTGGTTGGAGAGAAAAGCCTGGACATATGATTCAAATATAGACTAAAGGCTTAACTGCCAAGCAAACTAAATAACTTGAGAACAGGTTTCTAATCCTTTTGGAAATCTCAGTTTTAAAGAAAATCTGCATAACTTTTGAGGGCTTGACTCATGTTTGTAAGTGCTCGGGCTTGACAATGCTCTATTTTTAAGTGCTGTCTTTACGTTGAATCTTGGGAGGTGAGATGAAAATGGTTGTGTGTGGTTTTTTGGTTTTTTTTTAAAAGTAACAACAAATCTTAATATAGCTGAGAATGCGGAACTGCCCTTAGAAAAATAGGTTGGACACATGAAAAGGAATCTTGCTCAGCAGGCTGAAGACGCAGAGCAACTTCTGCGGTTACGTTTTTCTTTCTTCTGGCAATTTTGGGGTGGGGATGTAGCTGGCACAGTCACTTGGCCTTACGTTTCTCTTCGAACACAAGTCAAATCTTCCTGAACAAAAAGCAACTGGCTTGAAACTGTTTTCACCCAAACTGGAAAAGCTGTTTGCTATATCTCTGGTTTTGTGGAACTTGAGGTAACCTGAAGTTGCTCAAAAATAGGAGTTGCAGGATGGGTAGGGAGAAGTAGATGATCCTTTTGAACTGAAATGGCTTTGTATGAACAGGAGAAGACAGTCTGGCGCTCTGTTGCTTCAGAGAGGTGATTAGGTTTTTAGTTGTCATCTTCTACCCAGAGTCCCAAAGACTTAAATGGCATGGAAATGAAGTCAGCTGCTCAAAGCCAAAAGTAATCAAATGAGGAGACTCTAAAGTAGGAGGATAATCTTTGTCATCTGACAGGTAATCCCAAATTCCCATGGGATACCCATGCAGCTCTGCTGCTGTAGCATGTCTGTTGTGCTGAGACCAACGCTTCTACCTTGAGCCCAGCACGCTGCGTGGGCTTTGTGTGGCTGGTAAGCCATGAACACTGAAAATGTAGACCTGAATTACCGGGTAAAGAAGTGACAACACTTGCTAGGGAACTGATGGACGATGCTGCATATTGAGTCTGCTGGTGTCCAGTAGTGTGAAATTCAAGCAAGGGAATTCACAGAAATTTTGAGGCTGTGGTGGACCTGCTGGCATGGCTGCTCGGGCATGTTTTCTTGAAGACCGCAGTCATTTCTTCATACAGACATGAGAGTTGTGTGTGAATATTCAGTATGGGTAAATAAATTTAAAATTAAAATTTAACATGTAAAAATATGCAAACACCAGAGCTGAGGCTCTTTTTAAAAAATAACCCCCCTGCTCAGGGAACACAATTATTTAGGCTGTGCATACATCTGATTACCTAGCTCCGAAGTGGGTGAAAGCAGCTCTTCAAACTCCTTGAAGTTTTCCCCCAGGGCGTGCCAGCGCCGCAAGCAAAATGTCCTTGTAAAGCTGAAGTTAGCAAAAAGGGAAGGGGGGTGGATAAAAGCTGGGTTAGTCTGGGGAAGATCGAGAAGTGCTTCTTTTAAAATAATTTTCCTGGCTGCAATTTGGGATGTATTTAATGCTTTCCAAAAAGTCATCTTGGAACAACACGGTTTTGGGATGCTGAGACACAGGCTGGAAGGTGAGCGGGCATTGAGTGCTGGCTCACCTTCAGCGCCGCTGTCCCTGCACGTTGTCCTGGCTGGGGCCACCGCAGAACAAGCGGTGCAGGTTGGGGTGGCTGGGGATGGGGCTCTGCCGGCATGCCGTGCTGGTGTGAGTTAGATGTCGTTTTACACGTTTCCATTTCCCTTTGCACAGGCGGGACTCGGTGAGGGCATTGCCAGCTCTGTGAGACCGTGTGTGTGCACAAGGGGAAGGGATGGGGACTGCTTGCTGAGCTGGTGTGCCAGCAGCTGTCTCCCTGCTCTGGGGCAGCTGGTGCTTACAAGGGCTGCAAGAAATTGCATGTGAATCTTGAACATTCAGACAAGTTATTACGAGAGAAGATGTTTATCTATACTACTCTTTCCACCCCCCTACCCCCCTCGGGCTTTTTATACTGCTGTGTTATATATGGAAAAAAAAAAAAAAGAGCTTATATCCCTAATCTGGTGATGGTTATTACATTTCCATTTCCCCTCTTTTGTTAAGACTAGTAAAGGATGTTGCAGAACCTGTGTGAAGAAGCCCATGATAAGCAATTTGCAAAACCGCAAATCCAACCCAAACCCCTAAACTTTTGGAAACCTACCTTGAGACTTTGCAACACTGGGACGGCTCCGGGAGGTGGCACTAACTCACTGCAGAGACTGTCTAACGGGTGCTTCGTGGTAGTAGCACGATAAGTGAGCGATCGGGTGGTGGGACAGTATTCCTGCAAATTCTCTGGCAAGGTGCTTCTGACTCCCAAGGCTTTGATTTATTTTATTTACTTTTTTTTTCTTTTTTTTTTTTAGCAGTGGGTTCCCAGCTTTATTCTTGAGGCAGAGAGGAGAGTAGCCACTGCAGGTCTTGGTAGCTCATAAATTCCTGGTAAATTAATCATTGCAGCTTCTTCTGAGACATGCCAATAATGAGCATTGTGTCTGGAGAAAAGCCTAGCACACAGCAAGCCCATGTTCTGGATACAAAGTATTCTGGTTGATCTGTTCATATCCGCACAAGGGTATTTCTTCCTTCTGTTAAGCAGCATTGGACTTGTTCTCTGGTTGTGGATTTGTGTTTGGTGGGTTTTTTTTTTTTCAGGCAATTATGAAAATGAAATTAGATGTGTTGAAAATCACCCTTAATTAATTTTTCCCATAATTCAGTTTTTTATTAGAATAATGAAAATACTACTTTTTCCCTTTTGATCTGAACATTAACAGGGTATTGTAGGTCTTACTGGGGAATATTCAAAATGGTGTTCATCTTTAAGTGTAAAGCCCAGGAACTCTTTCACTGAAATAATGGCATTATTCTTGTGTTTAAAGATAACATTTTGCCTAATATTTTTTAAAAACTTTTAATACCATTCACAAAAAAAAAAAACCAACCCAACAAAAAACTCTCAAGTAGTTTCAAGCATAAGCTGTGCTTGCAGCAGCTAATGTAAAACTCGGGGAAAGCTTTGTTTTAACTTGCCCAAGGTAAAGTTCTTACCAAGGTGGTAAAACATTGGCCAGTGAAGGCTGGGGTGTAGGAGGATTCCTGTTGCTAAAAGTTTGATGACGACATTTGAGATCTCTTGGGTGGAAATATCTGGGGAAGATGGGTGGAGTCTTCATGAAGTTTGGAGAGTTTGTTGAAATTCATTCTGGACAAAGTGGCTTTGTCCCCTATAATGGCTTATATAAAGAATTAAGAATGCCATACTGCTTCTTGGGGATTTTACCTGATCTCTCAGAAGACAGAAGGTCCTGTTTGTAGTAGCAAGTACCAGCATTTAGATCTCAGCAGTCACCGAGTAGTGCCTTGTTCAGCAGCCAGCCAGGAGTCTGCATGTCACTACTGATGTGTGCTGCTTTCCTCTTCTGCAGGTTTTCATTTCTGTGAACTGCCTCAGCACAGATTTCTCCTCTCAGAAGGGAGTTAAAGGCCTGCCCCTGAATCTTCAGATCGACACCTACAGCTACAATAACAGGAGTAACAAACCTGTCCACAGAGCCTACTGCCAGATTAAAGTCTTCTGCGACAAGGTAAGGTTGGGTCAATGTGCCAGTGACCTTTTGGGAAAGGCTGTTCCACAGCTTAGCTGTATTTCCCCCCCCCCCCCTTCCTTCGAATTCTGCTGTTTGCTATTTTGGCTCACTGAGGACTGCTGTCTGTGTTCAGCCTTTGCAAATTAAAAATTTCAACCCCTTCTACTTGGCTCATAGCTGTTACAATGACCTCAGATAAATTTGCTGCTTTCAAAATGCTGGAGCTCTGAGAAGTGTTCCTGAGCATTGACTTGGGAGAAAGGTCAGTCAGTGGCAGAAGACTGACTGTTGGTACTCCAGACACTGGGAAATCCTGCAGAGTGCATTCAGTAGGAGAAATCATTACAATTAATTGGAGCAAGTGGAGGCTTGTCTTTTTGCCTAAGCTATGTTATGTTCATTCTTTTAAATTTCTTTGTGTGTTCTTACTGCATTTGTTGTTAAAAAAACCCCAACAACTTGCACATCTTGTGAACAGAAGATATTTCTGTTTTCATTGTGCCCCTGTGAGATACAGCAGTATAACGAAGCCCGGTTACAAGTTGGATGGGTGCTGTAATTTGACTGCTCTACCTAATGCATTTAGCACACAGAGAATTAACACCTTTCCCAAAGCCACTGTTCACCTGAAGCTGTGAAAGAAACACAGCAGGAGCTGAGCTGAAAGCAGTTGTAAAAGCTTAACTGAGTTTGCAAAGGAAGGTCGTTTCCCCAATCTTTGTAACCTATTCCTGTCAGAACAGTCTTTTGAAGGACCCAGAGCAAGTAATGTGCAATGTTACTATTTCCAGAGCAACCAAGATCTTTCTAGGCTGGGATGAGTGCTGCCCAGACTTCCCCAGTTCCTCTTTTGATCACTGAACCACTCTGACGTCCTGTTTTGCTGGCATCCTACTTGATTAGGGCCTCTCATTCTTTGCCTCCAGACTTTGTCTTCATTGCATGGACTCTTTGCAAGTGAGATCTCAAATACCTCTCTTGTGCAGCTGCAGGTCTGAGACGGGCTCGTGGCCCCCACTCTTGAGTCCTGTGCTAGCTTTGCACCAGTCACAACTGTGCAGCCTTGCCTTGTCATCCCCCAGGGGACTGCCACAAAGATTCATCTCGCAAGCTATTGCTCTGCCTCCACTTACCTCCCAAAATATCTGGAGCCCTCTACAGTCTGCCTCTGCTGTAGTATCCCATTGACTTGTCCTGCCACATTGTACGGCCCATCTGTATGCTTTTAATAGGCTCTTCTGCTTTTCTGCATGGCTGGGAGAAGCTGCCTGCAGCTGCCTGCCAGTGTAAAGCTACTTAGTCATCTTCCTTCAAGTGCCTCCTGAGATGTCTCCTGTTGTGATGATTTCTGCAAAGAATTTACCAGGGAGTTAATGAACGCTCTCCAGAGCTATCTTAAAGACTTGCCAGTAAGCCTAAGAAGCTTGGGTCTCATGGGCTTTCTTCAGGCCTTCCCCCCACCCCCTTCTTTTTTTTTTTCTTTTTCCTCCTCTAAAATGAGACTAAGGCAAGTGTGTCATCTAAAGCTCTTTCATTATCTGAGAGTCTTGTGTGTTAGCAACCTGTATTCTCTGCAATAACAGTGAGTATAGACTTGCTGCAGGGAAGGGGGGGATCTTTTACTCATAAGTTATCCAGTCAATTACTGACACTGTGCTGAAATTACTGACAGGCTTGCGCCACTGCTGATCAGACAAATCGGTTAATAAAAGGGCAGACATGCAGTCATTACATAGCTTAAAGGAGACCATTTGAATCTATACCATAAACTTCAGCAAATTTAGTGGTACAGTAATGCCAGGGTATCTTTTATTTTCCTTTGGGATTTTGACCTTTTCTCCTGATTTATGCCTCCAGATACTTTGCAAATTGTAACTGAATTAAAAGAGGAGGGAGGGGAAGGAGAAAAGACTACTTTTCTGTATTTAATCTGACTGTTGTTCATTCTGTGAATCATAGGATCATTTAGGTTGGAAAAGACCTTTAAGATCATCAAGTCCAACCATTAACCTAACACTACCATGTCCACCACTAAACCAATTAAGGGTAGAGTAATAGTTAATTTCATGTTTCCTGGCTTGGTGGCTGGATTATTTTTTAATGAAACTAAAAACTAGGAATCATTAAGGTTGGAAAGGACCTCTTAAGATCATCAGTCCAACCATCAACCCAGCACCACCATGCCATCTAAACCATGTCCCTAAGTGCCAACACCTACATGTTTTTTGAACACCTCCAGGGATGGGGACTCCACCACCTCTCCGGGCAGCCTGTTCCAATGCTTGACCACTCTTTCAGTAAAGAAATTTCTCCTAATATCCAATGTAAACCTCCCCTGGCGCAACTTGAGGCCATTTCCTCTCATCAACACCCACCCCACTACAACCTCCTTTCAGGTAGTTGTGAAGAGCAATAAGGTCTCCCCTCAGCCTCCTCTTCTCCAGGCTAAACAACCCTAGTTCTCTCAGCCGCTCCTCATAAGGCCTGTGCTCCAGACCCTTCACCAGCTTCATTGCCCTTCTCTGAACACACTCCAGCACCTCAATGTCTTTCTTGTATTGAGGGGCCCAAAACTGGACACAGTATTCCAGGTGTGGCCTCACCAGTGCTGAGTACAGGGGAACAATCGCCTCCCTGCTCCTGCTGGCCACACTATTCCTGATACACTTGGCCACCTGGGCACACTGCTGGCTCATGTTCAGCCAGCTGTCAACCAACACCCCCAGGTCCTTTTCCGCCAGGCAGCTTTCCAGCCACTCTTCCTCAAGCCTGTAGCGTTGCATGGGGTTGTTGTGACCCAAGTGCATGACCCAGCACTTAGCCTTGTTGAACCTCATACAGTTGGCCTTGGCCCATTGATCCAGCCTGTCCAGATGGCAGGGCCATCCTACCCTCGAGCAGATTGATGCTCCCACCCAGTTTGGTGTCATCTGCAAACTTACTGAGGGTGCACTCAATCCCCTCATCCAGATCGTTGATAAAGATATTAACCAGAGCTGGCATCAAAACTGAGCCCTGGGGAACACCACTTGTGACCGGTCACCAACTGGATTTAACTCCTTTCACCACAACTCTTTGGGCTCAGCCACCCAGACAGTGTTTTACCCAGTGAAGAGTACACCTGCCTGAGCCATGAGCTGCCAGCTTCCCTAGGAGAATGCTGTGGGAGACAGTGTCAAAGGCTTTGCTAAAGTCCGGGTGGATGACATCCACAGTCTTTCCTTCATCCACTAGGCGGGTCACCAGGTCATAGAAGGAGATCAG